GCCGGTGCTGGTTTGTTCAACAAGCCATGGTTCACAGCCCATGACTTAGCACAATGTACGAAGGAAGGCTACCCCGGGGGGGAGGGAGGCCACTGCCCCCCGCCCCCGTTAAGGCCGAATTCGGGGTCTTGGGAGGCCGGCGGAGAGGCGGGTTAGCCTTGAAGGAAAGAGGGGAGGGTCGCGCCCGGTTCTGCCCCGAAGAGGGATCCGTCCAGCCCTTTCGGGGGGGGTCGCATTCCAAGAAGCCTGTTGAGGAGGGGCTGGCGTGGCTCTCAAGCAGAGCCCCCGCTGGCAGGGCTCCCAGGGCTGGCCAGGACCTGGAGGAGACACTGGGTTGCGGCAGGGAAGATGGGGGCCGGATCCTGCAGGGAGGTCCCGAGAAGAGGAGCTGGGGGTCTGACACCATGCTAGACTGCAGGGAGGCTGTTGGGCTTTGCCTCTGGGGATTGCAAGCCGTGGTTTAGGTGTTCCTATGATTCAACAACCTGGCTCAGCACAATGTGGGACTCGACTGAGTCTCACCCTCTGCTCTTGGATGGAAGAAAGTGAGAGAATCTGGGTTTGGGAGACCTGGAAACGGGGGGGGGGGGGGTAGTGGGAGTGGAGTGGGTTGAGCAAGGCCTTTATTTTAGAAACGTGTGCTGCCTGATTGTCAAACTCTAGGCAGCTTACAGTGTTAAAATATTAGAACACCATACGGTATAACAAGACATCGTATGAAAAATGCACCCCTCTTCCTCTGTGAACAGGGTTGCTGTCACCAGTTTCTGGAAGAATCAAAGGGTGGGAGCTAGCCTGTCCTTGGAGGCAAGCTGCTCCACAGTGAGGGGGCTGCTGCTAGTCCGCTTGTGGGCCCAACCCTCTTAATCTCTCAGAGGATGAGAAGCTGCAGCACCCTCTCTCAGTGAGCCCACATATGGCAGACAGATTCTGCTTGGAGAAGATGGTCCTGGAGGCCATAAGGGGCTTTATAAGGAACCACCCGAACCTTGCGTTAAGACAGAAGCCTATGAGCAACAGCACAGCTCCCTTAAGACAGATGCCATTCTGTGGGTCTGCCTAGTGCCAGTCAATGAGGGAGCAGCTACCACTTCAAGTTACCTTCAAGGCCAGCCCCACATAAAGCAAATTACAGTAGCCAAACACAGAGATGCCAGGAGTACAGTTCATTCTCTTCAGCACCTCCTGGTCCAGGGAAGGATGCACCTGGTGGACTAGCTAAAGCTGGGCAAAGGCTGTCCTGCCACAGCCTCCATCTGCTGCTCTTGCTGGAACCTTGAGTCCAGGAGAACCCTCCAGATTGTACACCTGCCCCTTCAGGGGAAATGAGACCTCATATTGAGTAATAGAGTGTCCATAGAGGATCAGAGGGCTTCTGAAATAACAGTAATGCCATATTGCTGAGATTCCACCTGCATCTCTTCTGCCCCTTCCAGACCCTCACAGTCTCCAGGCTGTAAAGAGTTCCACTACATCTCCTATCTCACCTGGGGAGAGGTGTCAGTGTGAAGCTGGATATGATCAGCATATTGATGATGCCTAACCTATGATGTCTCCCAGCAGGCATGGGCGCCATAATTGGACTGCCCAAGGGTAAACCTCTCCTCCCCTAACAACATTGATTGGAACTGCCCACTTGGGGGGGAGCAGAAGCACTGCAAACCAACCTCTTCAGCCTCCCTCAACTATGATGGGTAGTATTGAAAGCTGATGAGAAATTGAACAGGACAAGAAGGGGTGCACCACCCCACCAAGGTCCTGCTGCAGATCATCTGCCGGAACAACCGTCTCATACCCAGGCCAGAGTGGGAGGGATCAGAGCTCCGCCTTGCCCAAGAGAGACCTGGGCTGAGGTCCAGATTGCACAGAGGCAGGTTCCTGCGGGCACTTCTTCATGGAGCTGTAACCCTGCCATGCAATATTACAGCACCTGAGGAAAATCATCAGGCAGTGGAGAACAGAGCGTGCCGGATTTGATTACCAGAGAAAAGAAAACACAGGAAGACCAGTGACTTCAGCACTTGGGCTTTGCTGCCCTGTGAACTCTTGCACCTTGCCATTTTTGAGTGTCCATGGGAGACTCTGAGAATGAACTTTCCGCAAACAGGCCGTTGTGAACGGTCTTCCATAGGCATTGCCCCAGTGTACATTTCCCACCACTGCTGGTCCAGGGAAGACTTCCTGGTTCACATCCTGGCTCTGCAGGTGGATTTGCCAGCCTAACAGCAACCTTCTAAAGGGTGCTGTTGCATTCTTACATTCTGTTTCCATGCCCCAAAACGAACCGCATGCCAACCCCGTCTTGGTGTTTGGTTGGGCTTTCAGCTGGACTGTTGGACAGAACCTGCAGAGCTGGTTTCATTTCCCAATTTGGCTCCTGCTCAGCCAGCCATCTAGCCTGGATGATGTGGAGCCAAGGCTGGACATTCACAATCGCTCTGCTGGGGTGAGTGTTTGAAAACAGGCATTCTCTTCCATTGAAGATGGGTGAGAAGTGAATACTGAAGTCAGTTTGTAAGTGTGTTACCAGCAGGATCTTTGGGGTATCCCTGTAAGGGATTCAGTCAACCTCAGAGTGTTCCTGTTCATAGCGTGTTAACAAAATGGGTCCTGGGTACAAATGGCTGAAAACAATTGGAAAATCTCTCTCTTAGCAATGTCTCCTTGTATTACATCTGTTTGAGGGCCCCAAAATGAGTCCTTCCAGTATCCTTCTGGCCATCTGAAAGGGCTATTTGCTCCTCTTCCCAAGTCAGTGTGCCCAGTGAAAGGCTGGAATCTGCTCTGCAGGCTATTGCTGCATAGATGCCTACCTCCTGCCATAGCTATGGATTGCTCTTCACGTGGGGCAGGTTTTCTGGGTGGATTTACTAAAAGGGCTCCTTGAGTTGGTACAGCAGTCAGTAGCAGTAGTTAGTTTATTATTTACTATCAGGAGGCGGGTGATGAGCAGATAATGCAGTAGTGGGCCTCCCTCAGAACCCCCTGCAGACTCTGGCAGCCACATTCAGGGCTGGAACCATGTGCCTCAAATTCTGCCCGTGCCAGCTCTATAAGCAGGTCCCCTGTTTTCATTCTGCATGCCGAGGAACCGTGGCTGGACAGGTAGCCCATTGCGAATGGCCTCCGAGCTCCCCTATTGCTGCTCATCCCAGCACCATCCACTGGAGACCAGATGAGCAGCAACACCTCACTTTGCATAGCTGTTGCTTGCTGAACAGCTCCTGTGGTTGTCCCAAGGAACATTTTTGCCTCTCCTGAATGCTGCTAATGCAAAGTTGGAGGGTCTGAGGTTAGCATTAACTTGTGTGTCTCCTTTTGGCTCAGCTCAGAACAGCACGTCGAAACTGAGTGCTGTGCATGTTTCAGCTTTTTACATTCAGCTGTCAAAAGACCACCGTTCCAGGCCAACAAAACCTGAATCTAAATTTAAAAGGGAAGGAGGACAGAGGCTCAGTTAGATTCGGGTGGCTGTGGGCCCATGAAGACTTTTCAAAGCTGAAAAGCAGCTATGCTGCTGGTCTGTGGCCTGTTCACACAGGGTGCTGAGTCATCATGGAACTGGGAGCAGACCCCTGTGCCTTTTGTGTGAAATATGTAGCCAACCGTGACAGAAAAGTCTCAGCTTAGTGTAATGCGTGAAAGTGGCGGGCACGTTACTTTCTGTGTTGGTTGGGGAACTGGGCCATCGGGGGCCAGGGTCCTGGGCTGGCTTATAGATTGTGATAGCATTCAGTAACTGAGCATGCTATGTGTCCATACAATGAACACTATCTCTTTATGGTGGGCTGCTGATAGAACATGGGCTTAATTCTATTGCTTATTCATACAATATCCTTAACCAAAGGTCTAACAGCTGCCTTTGTGTAACATTACAACTTGGTTAATCTTAACTTTAGTGTCAGTCCTGGTGCATTTACTGTTCATTGCGTTGTGAAACTGAGAAAATGGGTTAATGCAATGCTTTGATTAAACATGTTGTATGAACACAATGTTTTAAAAAGTTTTTCCAGCTGACAGTCTGTGTTGGTCCCAGCTTCACTTTTTCCAAATTTGTTCTGTGTGAATCAAGCTGTGGTTGTTTTCATCGTGCACCTTCTACCTGCTGATCAGTTGCTTTGGAACTGATAATTTGGAATTAGGCTGTTTCAGATCAGTTCAGAGATTTGGGGTTCAGAATCAATTCAGGGAAATGGGGAAATCCCTCCGAAGTAGATTTCTTTTTGTTGGCTTCTTGTGCCTGCAGCTGATCGCCTTGGCTGCTTTAGAAGGGCAGGCCACCTTTCTGTTTGACTCCAGTGAAGAAGGACTGACATTCTTTTCCTTTCCTGATTCTCAGTTGTTAGGCGTTTCTGAATGGATTCCAGTGAATTTCCTGGGTCTTTGGGGCCCCTGTCTCTGCGCAATAAGCCACTGATTGGGGATCTCCCTGCAGACCTGGAGTTCGGAGAGGATCTGCTAGCCTCCCAAACAGCCTCCATTCCACAGGCATCAACTCTTCAGTCCCAAGAGATGGAGTGGGAGGTGCCTAAACAAGCAACCTCAGATGGCAGCTTGGACCTTGGTGTGGTGAAAACAGGTGACCTGTCCAGTCTAAGCAAGTCAAATAGTTTGGCCCTCAGTAAGTCCAGCACTTTGGATATTCTGGAGAAGCCTGGCCTTTTGGATAGCTTGAGCAAAGGAGATGACCAGGAGGTGCTAGATAAGTCGGAGGACCTTGATGGCTTATACAAGGCACGTGGGTCTGTGGACCCAGAGAATGGGGCTGAAGACCCTTCTGCACCGGGAACCGAAGCCTTGGTGCCTGAAGCTTTGAAAGAAGAAGGGGTATCAAAAGCAGACAGGGAAGGCCTTGAGGAGAACCAAGCAGAGCACACAGGGTGTCCTCCGAACAGCTCCGCTGAGGACTCCCCTGAGGTGGTGGAGGTGAGCAGTGTGCCGCCTTCACAAGAAGGAACAGCCTCACCGGGCAGCTCCCCAACGAGCCCACGGCTGGCTAAGAAACCCCGGTTGAAATCCCCCAGGAAGAGCTCCCTGGGGCAGAAGGAAGAAGTTTTGACATCAGCAGAGGAGGGAAAGGAACCCACTCCGAGCAGCACTCCCGAGCCTGCACCGGCACCTCCTCCTGAAGTAGCAGAGGGAAGTCTCACTGCAGCAAAGAAAGAAAGCGGCCCAAAAGAAGCTGCGAAAGCACGAGACACAGAACCCCTGCCCTCACTCGCAGGTGGGTAAGCCTTCTCCCAGGGCTGCTGCAGCTGCTTTCCCTGGCCCGTTGTGCACCGCTACTGTCCAGGTTTAATCAGCAAGGAACAGGTTAGGAATCCAGCTGCTTTTCCCTGTCTTGCAAGATGCTCTCTTCCTTTGTGCTTTCCTAGCCAGATCCAGAGGACCCCCGGCTCCTTTCTGAATGCTGGGCCCCTTCTAAAGCTCTTTCTACTCCCCCCCCTTACCTGTGTGCACATCGCCCCCCAAGCTAGTCATGTGTGCCAGATGTGGTTTTGTTGCCACAGTTGTGGCATGTCCTGTGATGGGTCCTCTTTGAGAATCACCGATGGGCATTGGGTCTCTCTTGTGCTTCTCTTGCAGGGGAAGGTGCTGGTGCGAAGGGAACCGAGCCACCTGTTGAAAGGGTAAGGCAGGGGCTGCTGAAGGCCAGCTAAGCATTCGTCCTTCTGCCAGGGTCCTGGCTGTTCTTCCTTCAGTCCTTGGCTGAGTTTTGGGGGAGGGATTGAATGTGCCAGTTGCCCTTTGGAAGTCCTCAGGCCTGCATTTAACCCTTCTCAACTCAGAGCCTGGGAACAGGGCTGACTTGGGCTGGTGTGTGGCTTTCTGTCGAGGGGAAGCTTCCCAGGTTCAGCCCCCTTTGGCCACAGTGATGGTTCTCTGGTGTCTTCCAGGAGCAGAAGAGGAGTGAGCGTGCCAGGAGGGCAGAGGTATCTCGGCCAGAAACGGTCAACTCTTCGGAGAGCAGTAAGTTAACCTTAACTGGCAGGTTAGCATGGTTCCAAAATGATGCAGCAGGTCACCAGGGAAGAGAGCGGCCACCCAAAAAGAGGCCACATTCCGGGCAAGACTGGGCTGTCCGGCTCAGAGCAGGACAGAGGCTGTTCCTTGTCTCTGACCCAGCAGGGTCCCTGCAGGGCCAGAGCTGGGAGTCTTTGAGGGGTCGCCTCTCCACTGGCACAGGTGTGATTTCAGAGCGGCAGCCTCTTTGAAAAAGGGAAGGCAAGCGGCTGAGGAGGGTGATGAGCAGGCAGGATTAAGGGGCAGCTGTTTGGGTTCAGATCACCTCTCTCTCTCACCCACCAGCTCAATAAACACTTGGCATTTCCTTGGATGTTGCTGGGGTTTTGTTTGTTTTTTAAAGAAGCCTCTCTGTCTTCTTCCTCTCTACACGGGGAAAAATGAAAGGCAAATTACAGCAAGATACAGAAACAAAATGTATGAGCTCCAACAAACAAATCAATGAAACCAATTTTAGTCCAATTAAACCACACAATTGGATTAACGTGTAAAAGCAACCCAGTTTTTGAACAACAGATTAGACCTTGGTCAGTCTTTCCATGTCATTAGCAAAGGGCTAATTCAGAAGGTGAGAGTGAACAGTTTCTTCAGTCTAAACTGTTAAGCCCAAAATGGTAATTTCTCTCCAACTATGTAGAATTATCTTTTTTGCTATCTCCAAGCTTGATAAGCTTGAAGCTGTTCATAAAATTGATAAATTCCAAATTTTCAGTGTATACTGTAGTTCAACATCACGTTAACATCTTTCTTCACAAAATCACATTGATAGTAAAGTAGCTGTCTGGCTGAAACATACAAGCTCAAACCATCAGTGTAAATTCAAATGTGCAGCATAAAAAGATTGCCCCCACATCCTTCTGAAACGCTTGCTGAGTGTCCAATAAAATGAAAAAGATTTTTTTAAGGAATTAAACATCTGAAGGTCACCAGGAACGTATTTTAAATGCTTCACAACATTATGTCATTGATTTGCTATAGAAAGGTATTCCAACTTTCTGTACTGAAGTTCTTGCAAATTATCTAGATCCATTCTATTCATACACTTTAGCTTTCTATAAAAACAAACCTATAGGCTTAGACTCTTTCGGAACAATTTTTGATACAAGTAATCTGGGAGTTTTAAAAGTTGCTACTCTGTGTGGAGAAATCAGAGGGTGTTTTAATTGAATATGTTATTCTGCAGCTTAAACAATCTAAAGTCGTCTTGTAGTATAGTGAATGTTCTGAACAATAAGCTGGGCTACATTATTAATAACTTTTCTTCCGTGTACTAAAAAAAAACAACTTCAGTTTTTAGATTGGGATTATCCCATAGTGTTAGTTTCTTTTGTGGGGAGGAATCAAAATTAAACTTCCATCCTGGAATCTTCCAAATATATCCTGCAGCCACTAAAGCGACTGAATTTCTGCTAAAAGAAGAACTAGACTCCTGCCAAGATATCAGAGAGGTCAGATAGAGGCTTTCTAAGTGTGCCAATAATGTTTTTTAAAACAGATTGTTTGGATTCTGTAAAAAAGGGAGATCAAAATATGAGCGCAACAATAAAGTTGGAAATCAGGAAAAATTATAACCCACATCTTCATATGAAGTTATACCTTATATTAGTATATAAGGTATAAGAAAACCTGTGTGGCGGTATGTCCGTCCAATAAAAAAGACATTTAAATGAATTATTACAATAAAATCCCATTTTTCAGAGACTTCCTTATATCCAACTAGATGTATACCAGACTTAAAGGAAGTTGTTACTGTCATTTTTATTTCGATTTCTATCCTGCCTTTCTGCTTGAGGACATACAAGGCCACTAAGAGTGAAAGAGTCTGACCTAAACAGTTCTGAGGGGAGAAGTAGGGGCTGGCGTCTTCAAAGTGCTGGGGGATTTCCCAAAGCTTAAATTGCAGGGAGTGAATGTTGACCAGCTCCCTCCCACGACCCAGCTGGCAGCGTTCAGCACTTGCTTCCTCTCTCCCGCCTCAGTCCCTGTCTCTGATGAGGACTCGGATGCCATGGTGGACGACCCTAATGACGAGGACTTTGTCCCCTTCCGTACCCGGCGCACCACCCGCATGTCTCTGCGCAACCAGGTGGCCCAGCGGGCCGCCCGCTCCACCGTCACCAAGATGACCTGCGCCAACTGCCGCACGCCGCTGCAGAAGGGCCAGACGGCCTACCAGCGCAAGGGCCTCCCCCAGCTCTTCTGCTCCAGCACCTGCCTCACCGCCTTCTCCAAGCGCCCCCTCAGCAAGAAGAGCTGTACTTTCTGCAAGAAGTAGGTGCTTGGACTCCCAGGTTCCTGTCCCTCGCTGGGGCTGCTGCCCACCAGTGACCCCCCTGCTCCCCCAACTGCCTAGGAGCCCCTCACTCGGTGCCTGCGGTCCCTGCGACTGCAGGTTGCCCTGGGCTGTTTCGGAGCAGTCTTTCCGCCACCCACCTGACCAGCGTCTTCCTCTCCAGGGAGATTTGGAACACCAAGGACTCGGTCGTGGCCCAGATCGGCTCAGGCAGCTCCTTCCATGAGTTCTGCACTTCGGTTTGCCTCTCGTTGTACGAAGCGCAGCAGCAGCGGCCAGCCCCACAGGCAGCTGAAACCTCTGACTCCATCCGATGCAGTGTGTGCTACAAGACCGGAGAGGTGAGCGCAGCAGCTCTTTCGGGCCCCGGGGGCGGAGCAGGGCTTAAGGCTGAAGGTGGGTCAGTCAGGCAACACATGTGTTGGGAAGAAGCCACCTGGAAGATGGAAGATGAGTCCTGCTTTGCAGGTTCAGCCTTTTGCAAAGGGAGGTATAGAGCGAAGAAGCCCAGCTTAGAAACAGCCCAGCAGTTGCCGGCTGTCCTCACTCAAGCATCCCCTGGCGTCTTAGCCACATCGCCAAGAAATGTGGGGTGTTGTAGCCAGAAGCATCTGAAAAGCATTGGATTAGGATGGAAAATGTGCCAGAGAAGGCAGCTGTCTCTGGCAGGCTTCAGAAAGGTAGACATGAACCAAGAAACCTCTTGGAGATTTAGCCAGTTGATTGTCTGATTAATTATGTGACCTTGGCAGGTCATGGTCAGCCTTCCTGAAGCTGGGCTCGAGAAAAGAGCAGATCAGGAGTGGGGAAGGGGGCTTGGAAGTGCACTAGGATTAGCAGAGAGAGGCAGTATGTGGCAGGCAGGCAGGAAGGGCCACTCCAAACAGGATTATCAGTGCAAAAGAGACGCCCTGCTGCCCCATGATGCTTAGCCCTGGTTTGCCTAAAGGGAGGGGCAAAACTTGAGTGTGTACTTTTAAGACCCTGGGATTCCTTCAGCCTTAAGGCTGAGCACCAGCTATGCCTCCTCACCCAGCCCTCCTTAGGCTGCAGCCGTTCTTCTCCCCACCTGGCGCTGGGGGATGGGGAGGCCGTGACAGCTCTGCTTCCCCTTCAGATCCAGCATGAAGTGAGTAATGGCAATGTGGTGCACCGCATCTGCAGCGATGCCTGCTTCACTAAGTTCCGGGCCACCAAAGGGCTGAAAACCAACTGCTGTGACAACTGCGGTCTTTACCTGTACAACAAGGGGCTGCCCTTGGAGTATCTCTTTCACGAGGGGCAGCAAAAGCGCTTCTGCAACACCACTTGCCTCAACAACTACAAGAAGGTAAGGACAAGCGGAGGGGGGGTGGCTGGGCAAGGAGACACAGGGGCCAGCAGGCCTGGCCCCCCAAGCCAGGTTAGGGCCTCTGGGACCAAGCTGTCTTCTGGAGGGGCCCCGAGGGCTGTGCTGTTAAGCAGGCGCTCTGGTGCCAGCCTGGTCCTGCCTCCCAGGCTGCAAGCGCCCCTGTGTGCGAGGTGGTGGCCTTGCCGAGAAGTCACTAGGTCAGGCTTGGCGTTGATTAAAGTGCACATGGAGGGTGGGAGGAAGGATTTTATGGCAGAGCAAGTCCGCCCAGCAGTCACCTGGCACTGGGTCTCTGCAGAAAAACACCCGGGTCTATCCGTGCATGTGGTGCAAGACGCTCTGCAAGAACTTCGACATGCTGTCCCACAAAGACCGGAATGGCAAGACGGGTCTCTTCTGCTCTGTCTGCTGCACCACTTCGTATAAAGTCAAGCAGGCAGGACTGACAGGTATAAGGAGTGCCTGTTTTTTGCCCCAAATGATTCATTCCATGCACTGAGGCGGGGGGGGAGGCAGCTGGGCCTCTTGTGGAAGAGAGGGCCAGGCTTTTTTTTTTTAGAATAATTTTATTGAAGATTATATTGAGCAGATAAAATTAATACAATCTACATAGCATAAACATCTATAAAAAAAGAGGGGGAAGAGAGGGCCAGGCTCGTAGCGCAGACTCCTCTGAGGCGGCTTGCCCTGCGTGGAGATGAGCCTCCCTGACTCAGGGTGGCCTCCTTAGAGCCCAACTCAGGAGGGCTGCTGCCTTCACCAGCCCGGCCCTTCCACGTGCCCTTCCTCTCTCCCCAGGACCCGTTCGGCCTTGCAGTTTTTGCCGGAAGAGCCTGTCTGAACCCTGCTATTACAACAAGAATAAGCAGGTGGTGTACCAGTTCTGCAGCCCCAGCTGCTGGACCAAATTCCAGGTACATACGGAGGCTCTGCCGCCATCACAGTGATGGGACCAAACCCAGGAGCCTGGGTGTTCTGCATGGCTGCAGTCTGGGGCATCCATCAGGCTTCTGAAGTCTCTGCTTTCGTATTTCTTTAAAAAGAAAGAAAAGAAAAAAGCTTCTAGCTCTCGTTTGCTGAGGAAAGCTTTGAGTAGGGGAGGCTGTGTCTGCTAACGGCTGTAAGACTAAAAAGGGGTAGGGGACTCCCGAGGCTAAGGAGAGGGCCCTCTTGCTCTTTACTCTCCCCTTTTCCTACATCCACCCTGTTTCTGTCTGAATTGCAAGAGTGAATAATCCGTGACCTGCGTGTGTGTTAATTTGCCTTCTCAAATTCTGGTGCTGCTTGGAAAAAGAGCCTCGCTCTGGGCCTCTGGTCCCGGCCCTCCTCCCAGGCTGTGTGTGTGAGGTTTTCCCATCTCGCTTTGTGGGGTTTTAGCCCTCCGCCGCTTCTCCGTCCGAGCCCCTTCGCCTGCGCGTATCTCCTTCTACACGCTCCACCCCCCCTTCCCCTTCTGCCAGATGAATCTTTCCCCTCGTCCCGGCCGTTGTTCTCTATTCCAGCATTGCATGAGTGACTCTTCTCTCTGAAAGTGGAAACATTCAGGATCCCGCTGACATCACAGAATGGCCGGGGGGGCGGGGGGAGGCTCGCACATCTCATCGTAGCTTACTGATCTATCTATCTATATGATGTTGAATCTCTCGTGGGGGTCTTTGTCTCAAATAAAACTGTTTTTGCTTCTGCTGATGACGGAGAGTTTGTGTCTGCTATCCAATAAATCAGTGAAATTAACCTCCTGTGTGATTTGCATAATTTATTCCACTCGCAGAAAGTTGGTCTTGGGCCGCCATTCTCCCTGGCCAAAGCCTTTCCCTCCCAGGAGCAGCACCAGCACCAGCACCAGCACGGGAGAGCCTGTCTGGGTGCCTGCTGGAGAGGGTCCCTTCTTGGTGCAGTGGGATTTGGGAAGGGGAGGGAGTGCCAATCTCTGCAGGGAATGGGCAGGAGGGAGGGGGATGCGGACCGGGGGCTGGGGGCATGCACGCAGACCCAAGAGATGAGGTGGGCAGAGCTGCAGAGGAGAGGCAGGGAAGGCGTTGGGGCCAGCAGTCACGGGGCAGAGCAAGGAGCGGTAGGACCGCCTTGGTGGGCAGAGGTGGTCCTGTGTCCCCTTCTGAATCTGTCCCCTTCCCTCAAAATGCAGCGCTCCAGCCCGGAAGGTGGGATCCACTTGACCTGCCATTCCTGCCACAACCTCTTCACTGGGAAGCCCGAGATCCTGGACTGGCAGGTGAGGGGGCCGCAGGATGATGGAGGGAAGAGAAGTTGCCCCGGGGGGGGGGGGGAGACTGGGTGAGGGGGGGG